TACAAGAAGTTTCTTGTAATTTTAATTCTAATAATTCACCTGTGAAAAAAATATTTCACGAAGCTAATAAAATTTTGAAAATCGGTATGGCTAATGAATTTGCTTTGTTCGAAAAAGATTCAACGATTCAGGTATGTTGAAAATATTATACAAAAAATGTTAAATAATAAATAACTTGATACCTTAAAACATTAAATATTTTAGAATTCAAATGAAACAATTGATAATTTACGAAAAAATATAATTCATTTACAAATAGAATATGAAAAATTAGATCAAATTTATCAAAAAGAAATTTCTAATAGATCTGAAATAATCAAAAGGTTTGCTTTTTAAAAATTTTATACTGAATTTTTACAGTTAAACAATTTAAGTAGGATATTCTTATTCAAAAATTGCCCAGATAATAATATTACGACATTTTTTTTTTTTAATTTTTGCACTTTTTCAGAATGGACGCAACTCGACATATTGTTGAATCAACAACTGAATATTCAAATTCCCTTTCAAAAGCATTAAATCAATTAGAATGCGATAAATTAAAAGTTGCAGAATTTTACGAATTGATTAATGGAGAACAAAAGGAAATAGAAAAAAAACAAACCGAATTGGAAACGTTGATTACGGAAATACAAGAAACAATAAACGTGAAATGTAAATACAAAATTATATAATAACGTTACACTCATTTATTTCCCTAGCTTAACCGATATATAATTAATTTTAGTAGAAGAAATTCAAATAAATAAAGAAAAATTAATTTTAAAACATTCAAATGCACAATCGAAAATAAATGAGAATTTATTAAAAACGACAAATCAATTAAACATAATTGAAAACGAAAAAAAAAATTTACAGCGTGATGTTGACGAGTATAAAAATATAATAAAAAATTTAAAATCATCTTTGGATGATAAAAATGAAAATTTAATCTTTTTAAAAGGGAAATTTTTTAATTTGCAAACATCTTTAAAAAATTTAAAGAAAAAATATTCGAAATATCAAAAAATTATAAAAAATAAAAAAAATTTCATGTTGCTGTTAAAACAAAAAAATAAAAAAATTTCATGTGATTTATTTGAATGTGAAAAAACTAATGAAAATTTATTTGGTCAAAATCAAAATTTAAAATTAGAAGTGAAAGAGGTTAGTTTTAGTTTTTTCTTATTACAACAATTTATAACATTTTCACACACAAATTTCGATTTATTATTAATTAAAACTTATTTTTTAGTTACAAAATAAAATGGAAGATCAAATGAAATTTTTTAAAGTGGAAGAAAACAAATGGGGAGTCGAAAATGATGAATTATTAAAAAATTTGACAGATCTTAAAACAGACAATGAAAAAATTAAAACAAATAATGATGATTTAAAATGTGAAATTAAAAAATTAGAAAATAGTCTGACGTTAGAAATGAAAGAAAAAGAAAAAGAAAAATTCGATA